TCCGGTCAGAATTTTTGGTCGGGCATTGCCCCTAAATGCCCGACCCTGCAGCCGCCTATGCCAGGAAAACGAGCTCCTATGCTTACCAGACTTTTTAGAGGACCTCATCTTGACCAGAGGACTCCTCTGGTACCAATAGCGTGGCTCTAAACCTAGTCTAAGTACATCACCACTAAGGAAAGCCAAAAATCTGCAAACCGGCCGTTTTGTTCAGCCACCTTTTTTCATCATCATCATCATCATCATCATCAAGAAAGTCCTGGAATTCAGTTGGCGAGCTGTATCTCGATCTTGACTCGTGCTAGAAGTATAATTCTTACACCACTCTACTCCAACAGTCTATGCGCAGATCCATGTCCCCTAAAATCATTCTCCAAGATAAGAAAAAGTGACGTTATGACTGCTGTATCAGGCCAACTTACCTCCCGTCGCCATTTTGTTAATTATAGAAGCATGCCATGTGCTCCAAAATTTGGGCGTGGTCGCGCATGCTCAGATCTCAGGACTGGGAAAAGCGGCAATCAATGTTTTAACCTAGCTAGGCTAGCTATGCTTGGAATCAATTGCATTACTTAGTGGAGGTTTTCAGCTAAAACTTAAAAGAAGGCATTAATCTTACATATTATTCTTTTATCAAGTGTTTAATGAATTATTTTAATTAAAAAAACAATTAATGTTATAATAATGCAATGATTATGACTTTGACATCAGGAAGAACAAGAATAGATAGTATAGGGAAGATGGAGCTTCTTGAACAAGGATTCAAGTCAGGACTATAGTATTAATTTCACTTGCCATCAGTATAGTAGATATTCCTTCAGCATATCTATTTTTGGCTGTGACTGCTGTCTCTCATAAATGCTGTAAAGTCATAACAATAATTAAATAATTGTTTGTGTAAAATCAACAAGTGTCACAATTGCAACTAAAAACATATTATAAATATTATAAAAAAATCAACACAAACAAGAACATAATAAATTAAAAAAAACAAGATTGAGTAGGATTCCGAATGACCAACGAAAATACAAAATGAAAATCCTACTCTCGTGACGCAAATTCTACTCTACATTGCAAGGTGATTCATAAGTTTTGCATAAGAACATTAAAAGTAAAATGTAGAGTAGAATTTGCGTCACGAGAGTAGGATTTTCATTTTGTATTTTCGTTGGTCGTTCGGAATCCTATTCAATCTTGTTTTTTTAATTTTTTATGTTTAGTACAGGGTCATGAGCAAATTTTTGCCAAAAATTAAAGCATGAGAATTCTCCATTTTTATAATTTTTCCTGATAAATATACATGTTCTCATGTTGTGTAGCAAGTTTGAGCTGATTCCAATCAAAATTAGCTTCATACTATAGTACCCATTACTCTTATACTGTGTGTGTTATACTTCACTCCAAAGTTACCTGATCTATAGCTGAGGTCTCCACTGACTCCATTAGCTGTTCTATGTAGTATCCATCTTCTTCTTAAATCATATAATGCTCTGTAAAACTTGTGATCAGTTTGACTGGATAATTTCTTGAGTGGCTCAGCTCCTTTTCTTAATATCTTGGAAGCTACATCAAGTGCCTAAAAAATTCATGATAAAATCAACATACACGTACATGTACATGTACATACACAATGTGTACACATTCATTAACTATCAATCTAATAGAGACAAAGCTCACCAAACGAACTGCTATTCATAATAAACTAGAGTTGCACCAATACAAGAATTTGCCGATATTCCGATTAACAGATTATACTGTAAAAAACTGCCGATACAGATGTAAATACCGATTAAAAAGAAATCTTTATTTTTAATTAATCATAGTGCAAATGCATGCAATTTGCACAAAACTTGAACACAGCTGGTTACCAATTGCTGACTTACATGTACATGTACATGTATCTTCTTTACTAAAAAGTGAAGTACTACTGTTATATATTGCTATATTATTTTGGTATTGATTCCTATTATTATTTTCTAAGGCATTTTGATTACAGTTATTTCTAGTATTATTATTATTGTTATTATGATTATTATTACTACTATTGTTATTACAATTATTATTATTACTATTATTAATTATTATTATTATTGCATTGCTGTACGATGTTATTTCTTTTCCTTCTAGCTGATGCTTATGATTTACTATGCTTATTAGTTCATGTATACTGATTCTGATTGTTGTGTAATGTGTTGTCATTGTGATGTAATATGATGTAATACTGTTTGTATATAAGTGTATGCTCTTTTCATTTTTGTTGGAAGAGATTTTAGCCTTTTTACAATAATCAATATTTACAAAATACGAAGGTCAAGCTCTCTCCATTCGGTCACTACAACTACCATATTGACAACACTCTTTTTGAAATTTTGAACCATTGTAGCTGGTATGGGTGTAGTCAATAACTTTTAT